AATCTCCCTCTGGACTTCATCCCTTATCTCTTGCATATTTCTCCGCAGCTCTGTCAGCATGTTTATGGTTTTTATTTTGAATTCTTTTTCAGGGAGACTGGTTAGGTCTGCCTCTGCAGATCTTTTCTCAGGTGTAACTCTCTTGGACTGGACCAGATTTTTTTGCCTTTTCATGGTGATTGCAGTGGCTGTAGGCAGGTTGTGGGTGTGTCAGCTGGGAGAAGAGAGTCCTTTCTTGCTTGCTGGATGCCTTGCCCTTCTCCGCTGCCTGAGACAGTTACCCGCACTCCTGGCGCAGCTATCGGGTTAGTCCCCTAAGCTGCTGTGGGCGGAGTGTCCGTCAGAGCAGCGCGGAGCTCTGTGGGGAGTGGCAGGCATGCCAGGTGTGCTCCTCGGTGCTAGCAGTGACCCTGCTGGGCAGCTATGTAGCAGCAGCGGCCTTTGGGTCTGGCCCAGGCGGCTGTGTGTTGGGCTGGGATTTCGGTCGGCTGTTGGGAGCGCGCCTGCTCCCTCTGGGTCCACTGCTGGTGCGCGCAGGGCTCTTCCGCTCAGGCTTCTGCTGGGCTCCTCTGGCTTCACTGCTGCCGGTGCGTGCGAGCCATGCCCAGGCTGTTCGGTCGCGCCGCTGCAGGCTAGCACAAGCCTCTCCTGCAGCGCATGGATCTGCTCTTGGTTCCTTCCAGCGCTGCCGTCCCCAGCGCGCGCTGCCCCTCTTCCGCTACTGGGCCCATGTGTCGGGGTCTGCACCAGTTGGAGGAACGACTGGCAGGCTGCTTAGTGCCTTGAGGGGCTTCAGAGCTGCCCTGCCTCTGTTTAGGGCGCCTAAGTTTCCCCAGTATTCCCAGCTGCCGGGACAACTTCATCCAGCTATGGGGTCCCTGTCTCTTTAAGGCTTGCAGAAAGCACTCGCTTTTCTTTTGTCTCAGGGGTGCTGCTTGCGGGGATCTGCCCACAGGTTTTGCTTTTCCGTTTCTCTAATATCCAGCACCTCGTGCACCTTGTGTCTGCATTCCGGGTGCGGATTTCTAGAGCTGGTTGTTTAGCAGTTCTGGGCTTTCACTCCCTCCCCGTTCCGACTCCTTTCTTCCCGCCGAGTTTTGGGGTGGGGGAGCGTTCGGGTCCCGCCTGGCCGCGGCTTGTATCTTACCCCCTTCATGTGATGCTGAGTTCTCACAGATGCAGATGTATCCTGGCTGTTGTACTGCATCCACTGGTGTCTCTTTTAGGAATAGTTGTATGTATTGTATTTTCATAAATATATATGTTTTGGGGAGGAGATTTCCTCTGAACTACTCACGCCGCCATCTTCCCGTGGTCCCCTGTGCATCTAGTATTTTTAAGAGATACTGCAAAATTGTTTGCAGTCTGTCCTGAATTGTCTTTCCTCCGTTAATGTATTAGACTGTTGCTGTTCTTACTCTTGCCGAAGCAGTTCCATTCTTGAAGAACTTCGGGTAAAAATTACTGCTCTATAATAATTTTTGTTTTCATCTCTTACTTTGAAGAAAATTGAGCATCTTTTCAGAAGACTGATTCTTTATATTTTCTTTTTTTTTTTTTTTGACTGTCTTTGTGTTTTATGTTCATGTTTCGTCTAGGTTGTCCATCTGTTTCCTGCGATTTCAGGCTGCTCCTGTCTGTGTCTCTGTCTGCATCTTACATAGACTAAAATCTAACTTACTCATCTGGCTGAAACCTTGGGCGGGTTCAGTAAAGGTGGGAGACGAGGAGGGATGTTGACAGTTCCTTTACTTTTAAGCTTCCATCAGTTGTTATACCTGGACAACTGGTTGTCCGAAATAACTTTGTTAATGATGTCTAATTGTGGACTGAGGATTCAGGTTGATTTATAACATAATGTTAAAAGCTAATTTGTAACTTAAATTAAGGTTTTCCTAGGCATTTTTGGTTAGTTCATTTTACTGGACTTATTTGTATAGTATTTTACAGGTTTGTTTTTACAGAGAAAATTAAGATTGTTTGCACTATGATAGTGCAAAAATATTGCCCTCATCTTTTAGTCTTTATTTTTTCCTTTGCCTCAAACTAACCTATGTGATTAGAAGTCTATATTGCTAAAAAAGGATGTCCGTGCCTTTCCCGCCCTTAGCATCGCGTCCTGAAGAGGCACCAAGTGTTTCGACATATATTCTCCGAAGTGTTTTCCTTCTTCACAGACCTGCGGACTCTGCACCTGGACTTGCTCGTTGTGTGCTGTGTGTGGAAAGCGCTTAGTGCCCATCCCATTTCCATGTCTCCCTCCGGGCGATTCTTCTGCAGAGAAGGATGGGTCACAGTTCTTGGCTCAGATTCTGCCCCGGGATTGCTTCTCTCTGTTCTGGGTCTGCCCTGTTAACCATTTGTCATCTACTCTAGGGGTTGGCAAGCTGCTGCCAGTGGGCCACCTTCCTGTTTCTGTGAATTTTATCAAAACATGGCCACACCTGTACGTTTTCATTGCCTATGGCTGCTTTCATGTTATAACAGCAGGAATGAGTAGTTGTGACAGAAACCTGTGACCTGCGACACTGAAAGTGTGTCTGGTCCTGTATAAACCCCGCTCTACTACAGCGTATCTCACGTGAATGGCCCTTGGGCTCCTCCCTGCACCTTCTTTACAGGATTTTTACAGGTGTTTACAGGATTATTTGTTTAATGCCTTTATCAGTTAAAACCACTTCATTGAACATAGAGACAGAAGATGGAAGTCTCAAAACATAGGAAGACAAAAAAACAGTATTACACAAACCATCCACTGGGAAACAGGAGTAGCTGATCAGCATTCTAAACTTGCCATTGAAGTGACTCGTCTCTTATTTTTACTGAGAATGAAGAAATAATTGCAGTCTTACAAATACTGATTTTTTTTATGTTTGAGAGTCGATGGGAACAAGCTCTTTGACGCTTTAGATAGCCTTGGAAATGAAGGGAAGGTGGGACTTGCTATTAATGTTTTTCAAAAAGAGAATTACAAAATTGTTGGAGATAGAGTTTTCTTAATCATTCTTTTTTCCTATTGGTCACTTACATTTTTTTTCCTTAAGTATCTCAGAAAAATATTTGTCTTGAAAGGTAATCATTTACTCATTTATCTTCCCTGTTACTTCCTAATGACGTAAACACCATGATTCTTTGGTTTCTTTTATTATTTAGTGGCTTACAGAAGAGATGAAATGTGGTCTGAGGGACGATATGACTATGAAAGGCTTCCAAGAGACCGAGTACCTCCTCGAAGTCACCCCAGTGTAAGTTGCTCCTCTGTGCACAAGAACTCAAAACCTGGTGTCTTAAGGGAATGACAACAAAGCCAGGGCTCTTAAAAAATCTTCAAGGGCCAGAAGGTGACCGGTGTAGGTTGAAATACAGATAGACGAGCTTATCTTTAAAAGTTAAGAGTTTTCAAATAAAAGGTGACATTTAATTTATGTAGAAAATTTGCACATTGTTTAAATTCCTAAAGTGGAGGGTTTGCATTGAATTTAATCTCTCAAGAAAATTTCAGGTTTGATAGAAGTCAGACCATCTGTTAACAAGGAAGTATTCAAGTACTGTTCTCCTACCTACTGTTGGCTGTCACCTATTTTTCAATATTCCTAAAAACTTTTTGGAAATTGGATACATGAAATTCTAAAGTAGGGGCAGCTTGGACAGGCCGTGTATGTGACCCTTGCTTCTTGCTCTGGGAATTGGGAGTTTTTAACCAGGCCTTTCCTCTTCTCAGGGAGCTTGTGTTTTGCTTATCGTTGTATTCCTAGCCCTGTGTCTAGTACCTGGTACGTAGTGAGAGCTCAGTGTTGAATGAGTATATGCATTCTCCCCTCACAGCCCTCTATGTGGACGCAAGGGAGAAAGGGTTTGGGGAAGGTCAAGAAGCTGCAGATCTTACACTTTCAGACAGGCCCATTCTAAGCACCAGGGGATTGGCGTTGGGGTGGTGGTGTGTGAATATAGTATAGATGTGTTAGACGCCATCAAAGGGCACAAATATTTGTTTATGTGTTAGTTTTTTATATAAGTGTTGTAAGCAAATCCTGCAGCCATCTTAGAGGGGTGATGTCCTCTTCATGGCTGTCATTTGGCCTAGGTTATAGCTGGGGTCAGGCTGGATCTAAAATGATTGACAATGGAAAAAATGATGAGGCCTACCGTATTTCAGAATGGGCATACTTATTACTACATGTCATTTTTTTTGTGAGTTAGTTTGTAGACTTTGTTTCTAATCAAAATCTCAATTTTTAAATCTTTTTCACCTAGATAGAATCATTTTATAGTTTAGAAGAACAAAAAAAGATCTAGTTAAACATGTTATAGGACTAATGCAGGGATGGGAAGAGGGATGACTTTTAAAAAAGCTTTGTATGTTAGGAGTCGCACCCTCCACGTATATATCCCATTAGGAATCTGTGCTTCTGGGATACTTACAGAGTGACAGGTGTGGTTCTGCCGTTGGCTGGGTCATAGTTGGGTTAGTTTTAGTTTAGTGTCACATGTTGGGATTGCCTTTGTCTCCTTTGCTAATTATGATTAGTTTCTTTTTTAATGTAGTGCTTTTACATGGCTCCAGATTATATCATGTTTAGAGAAAGGAATGACTTACTTTAAGTGGTAATTTATTGTAATTATAACTTTAACTAGTGCCTGCTTACTGTGAGAGAATTTATATATAAACATCCTCATCTTCAAAATAAGTCTGAGTGTTAAATGGTACAGCATTTAGAGAACCCAGTAGAATGTTTTAGAAGCTATAAAATTTAGGCACACATTTATATACAGAAACATAATTTCAGACAATGGGAAATACTCATGATGAAATCATGGAAAAAGCTGTGATATAAAACCTTTATTACACTATTTTGTATTATACGTGCACGCTATGCTACATCACAGAACAGACTGCAGAGAAAGTTGGCTTAAAGAGCTGTCAGGATGAAGCCGAGAGAGCTGCCAGGAGGCTGTTGCTAGGCAAGGGAGCTGGTTTAAACAAGCTGAGAAGGACTGAGTCTTAGGATGGGAATAATCAGTTTATCAGTGTCATAAAGACCAGAGAGTCAGTCCCTCCCTATCTCTGGTTAGGTCATTATGTGAGACTGGATTGAAAAAGTTCCTATTGAGTAGCCTTTGTTTTTCTCTGAAATAAAATCATGTACTGAAATCGAAGAGGTAGGAGACGAGAGTAGCCATTGTAGGTTCCCCCCTGACCAGAGGTGTTGAAACGGGCTGTGGCTGAAGGCTGGTGAGCTTGCACACCTGAATGTTTCAGGGCTGCCAGTCTGCGGGGTTGTCGCTCTGTCACCTCAGTAGCCCCAGTGCAGGAGTAGAAAGCAGGTGGTTGTATCGATTTGAGATTGCAAGGTGAGGATGGACCCAGGGAGATGAGGCTATTAAAGGTTCTGACCCATAGAATTACCGAGGCGATACATTATGTGGTGTGGGCTGGCGCAGAAAGCAGTGAGGCTGGGAGTGCAACAGTGGACTGAAGGTAGTGAGGGGCTGAGGGGCAGGAAGGGCTTAGTGACGGTGAAGACCAGGGAGTGGCAAAAAGATAGGTAATTGGTATTTTGTAGTGTAAAGTTTCCAAGATGGGACAATTCTGGGTGATTGAATTTCAGTGTATGATGCTAGGAACAGAGGTAAAGGTTATGGAGTTGAGGTCAAGAAAACTTTGAGGCTAGATTTTGGATCATTTTAAATTAGAGGGTCTCCATCCTTGCTGTATGTTAAAATCACCCAGAGAGCTTTTAAATACCGATGTATGGGTCCATCCCAGATAACCGAGTCATGATCTCTATGGGTAGGATCTGGATGTTAGTGTTGTTTAGAAGTTCAGCTGATTCTTAGATGCAGAGTTGGGAATTGCACACGGTGCATGACACTGAGGTTGCTGATGAAGACGGGAGTTGATAAAAGGGACAGGTGTTGGATAAGTGTAAATCAATCAAGTTAGAATTTTTTACTTTGAGCCTAATGAAAACATTAAAGTTTAAAAATACTTACTTACACTATGGTGGTATATCGCACCGACATGCATGTATGAGAATGCTCACAAGCAGCATTAGTCACAAGAGCTTGGAACAGGCAGCAGCCTGAATGCCCAGCAGTGGCAGAGCGGGTGCGTCCTGTGCAGTTATGCAGCAGTGGGAATGAACGGACCACTGCCCGAAGCAGCAGCGTGAGGAAGCCAGATGCAGAGTATGTCCCGTGTGTGTCCTTTTATGTGACGTGTCAGAACTGGCAGAACTACCCAGGACGCTGGTAGCTTTTTGGAGACTGAAGTAGTGATGGAGAGAGCAAAGGATGCACTTGCCCTGCTAGGAGGAGTCAGTCTCTTAATCTGGATGGGAATCACACAGCGTGATCACTTTTTTTGAAAATTTAACCAGGAGAACATTTAATGATCTATATTCTGCGAATTCCATACCTCAATAAAAACTTCAACTTTCAAAAAGGCAGAATATTATTTTTTTTCTAAATATGAAATTGCAGTTAATCCTTTAAAGTAAGAATCCCTTATCATCAGTGCCTGGGATAGAGGAAGGTACCTGTTTTATTTTGGATATTTGGGTTCCGGCCTCTAATAGAAAAGCAGTTTTATTGCTCTTCTCTTTTTTTTCTTCCTGCTCCCTTTGCCCTGTCATTCCTTATTCTGATACATCAGAGATGTATCTAAGGAACTGTTGGGTATGGTACAAAGTGTGACACGAAGGGGGCGCATTTTAGAAGGTACCTACTACACTGCTATGACTTCGTTAATTAAAGCAGCTACTTTGTGAACTTCTAGCTTTGGTAAACCTGGAAAGGCAATTGGACACATATTTGGTGCTGATATTAAATTACACTTAATTTGATTATTGAAAAGCTTATCCTCAATGTACAACTTGGACCAATTGGACCAATTATTTTAGCACTTTAGAACATTTTTAAATTAGTTCTGTATTGACAGTTACTTTTATAAAGTGCTTTCACATAAATTTTTATATGGTCTTGAATTTGGACGGATGAAGACTAAAGAAGCCCAAAGAAGTACACAATAGAGAATCCACGTGTAGGCGTCCACATTGCTTTGTTACCTTCTAGGTGTCTGTAAGGCCCTTATTGTAGAAGCATATTTCCTGCTGCTTAACCTGTAATTTGTGTGAGTTTGGTTATCTGAATTCTTAACCTTTATCAAGTTTTGTGACAGAATGGCTATTAGATATTGTAAACTTCAGGATGGGAATCCATCTTGTTAGCTTGCTGGGGAACAGATAGGTAATATGGAACATGTTTAATGAAGTTACAATTTAAAACATTTATTTTCTATTGACTTCTGTTAAAATGGGGGACAAGTTTCAGTTTCAGAATTTTTAAAGATTGTATAATTTGGAAATCAAAACATGAGCAGCTTATATTCTAAGCACTGTAACACACCTGAGGCTGAATCAGTCCTGTCTGCTTGTCTACCTGTTCCTTTAACAAATACATATTAAATAAAAGATTTTCTAATCTCTGTCAGTGAGAATTGTAAAGATTGAGGCTAGTGATGTCAAGAGCAACAATACTTTATTCTTTTTAATTTTTCTATCACATTGAGTTTTTTTTTAGTTAGATAAAATTAGGTTTTATGATTAAGTAGTTATATAACAATATTTCCTTGGGTTAGTGAAATGTTTTATAGGTTTTGCATTTGTTATTTTTTCCTAAAGAGTTTAGCCAATCAAAAATAAATGCTTTTGTGAATTCAGAACATGATTTTTTAAATTTCGGAGGGCCTTGTAGGGAATATACCAGACATACATCTATTCTATATATTCTCAAATACGAATGGACCCAAAACATAATCCAGAGATCTTTCTTTTATGCCACTTGAAAAAATTTGACCCACTGCTCCTGAAAGCCACTGAGATGACCCAGAAACACCAATATTTCATGAAAATTCAGTGAGTGAACTAAGTCAGCAAGTGCTGCAACCAGAATGCACATCACAAAGCAGGCTTGGGAGGAAGCCTCGAGCTGGTGAAGGCCCGAGCCCGCCAGCCGCGTGGCAGGCGTTCGCAGTTAGTGCAGTTTGTGTGGAACGTTCGAGTAAGAAGCATGTGATGCCAAAAGGAACATAAATTCGAAATAGCCAAATAGAATGTGAGTTACATATATGGTGCTCACAGGGCGGCAGGTGCTGTCCATGGTGCTGGGGATAGAGCCCCAAGAGCCGGTCCCCGTGCCTGTGAAGCTGGCACTCATGTCCGTGCCGAGTTGGCCCTGTCAGGAAGCAGCAGCAGCAGCTGCTCACGCTGGCCGGCGTGCTTAGTTGCAGAGCGGGATGGCCAGTCTTCTGTAGTCCGTGTCTCTGCTGCTTTCCTCCCTCCCAGATTAGTTTGAAGTAAATCCAAAATACCGTATTTCAGATTTTCAGTGTGTATCTCTAAAAGATAAGAGTGCTTAAGAGGGAGAAGCTTATATATTACCAATTTGATTTTAACAAAGTGTTTTTGTATTAAAATGGGTGCAAAGTATGTTTTAGTAACATTAGGAAAGATAGGTTTTTAAAGAAATGTGTGATGATCATCATAGTCTGTACCCAGTTAGTAACTAGTGAGAAAAATTTGACATTTGTATAGTGAATCAAACAAAACCATCAAAATTGGTGCTTTTACTTGAAATGAAAGCATTTCTCATAACAGGAGGATCAAGTTGGAATTTATAACAAATTTAGAAATAGGTGACTGTAACAGTCACCATTTCAGATTTAAAAATTGCAAAACTAATTTGATATGTATGTTAATCTGATCCGATTTTCTTTAGCACAAGCAAATAACAATATTTCAGACACTTACAGGGCCTTGTGGTAGGAATTGCCTTATGCCTGAGGTAGTGACAGATATGAAAGTTTAGGTTTCAAAGAAGTATAACTTTTCAACAAAGTATTTGAATTGAGATGCGAGTTGTTGCTTTCTACACCGTGCTGGAGTAGACAAATGATTAAGTAGGATAGGCCTTTAAATTTTTTTTTTTAATGAGCTATATAATATTTTTTATTTTTGGTGTGACTGATCATAACATTAATTCTAACTTTGGAGGAGGAAATCTATACATATTTCTATACATAATTCTAACTTTGGAGGAGGATCCTATACATATTTTCGGGAATTCTAATAACATCCATGCAAAATTGATACATGGCATAATTGCAGTGCAACATTGATTTAAATTGATATACTCTGATTTTTGTAATTAATAGGGATGCTGTATTTTTCATAATGAACAGAATGAAGTAGTGAAATTTGATTTCACTGATATAAATTGAGATTGTATATCCAAATTCAAGATTTGAAATATCTGCATTTTAAATAATAGAAGTGTTTAAATTCCATTGAGTTCATTTTTTAGTTTACTGTTATCCTTAAAACCTTTTAAGATATCCTTTATAATTTTTAATTTTTATTTCTGGTTGTATGTAGTGGTGCCATTGTTTTCCAAGATATCTCTAAAAGGGAGGTTCCATATTATTAGTACATGAAGTGTTGTGTACTTCTGTTAGCATTTACAAAGGGAAATGTGTGTAGCTCAGTGTAAGATTTGTACAAGAATTTCAGACAGTGATGGTATTTCCACTTAGTTTGGTGTTGCAGGTAATATAAAATACTGTTTGAACTTAATAATGCAAGGTTTAGAAAGACAAATTCTGAAATCTGCCTCTCATCAGGGATTTTATGGGAAAGAAGGAAATTCTTGATGGTGTTTGTGGGTAAGATAGGAACTCTGAAAATACAATATTGCTTTGTCATAGTCTCCTACAGTCATCTTTATTTTCTTAAATCTTTTCATATAACTAGGGACTTTTCTTTTAAGATTAAATGCCTACAGAGCAGAGATGGTGTAATTTACTTGTATTTGAACACTTTCTCAAGACAAAGGAAATACCAGTTTGATCCTTTGCTGAATATGAGACATGTCATTAAGGGTTATTTCTTTTGCTGAATAACTTTGGCATGATTTATTTGGTAAAAACAGTTTGCTAAGTGTATAATGTAATGTGGTTCGAGTTTTACTTCTTTGAATGTTTTACTATATACATTTTACTATCTGGAATAACTTTGAACAGAGCAACAGGCTGCTTTATAAAGTAATAAGCTCTCTATGGAATGGACATGCATACCTACCACCACCACCCCTCCAAATATATGCAAGCAAGGATATTGTGGAATGGGATTTAAGGGTTTCTGGGAATTGGAGAAATCATTGTTTTACAAATAACAAAAAAGTTTTGAATTAGGAAATGCAATTAAATTGTAGTATTGCTGATTTTGGCTTAATGCTGAATCTTTTTTAGCAGCTCAATATTTGCCTAGATTTAATTGAAATCTCTGTGAAAATGTTTTTTTTGAAGAAAGAGTCAATGAATTCATTCATCTATTGTACTTTGAGTGAACATTGAATTATTTTTTAACTTAATACATAACATACTAAAGAAGGAAACCACCTTATTATTCCCATGGGAAGAGATTAGGTAGGTCATTTAGCTCTCAAATAGACATGAAATATCAATGATTTTTTTGCAGGACATTGACAAATTTCTTACCCATTGAGAAACTTGAACAGAACATAGTTTAATAATTGAATAGTTGTAGTTGTTAATATGAAGAAGTAATTTAAGGAAATACTTAAGGAAATAGACACCTGAAGGAATTTAGTGTTTCGCTTCGACTTGCAACAGCAGTAATCAAAATAGCAGACATTTTTGAGTGCTCGTGGGTCCTGGGCCCTGTGCTAGGTGCTGTGCGGTCCGCTTCTCCTTCAGGCCTCGCAGCGGCCCCGGAGGCAGGTATTCCTATCGTTGTTGCTTACAGATACTGAAACTGAGGCTTAGGGCTGTAACATGATGCCCTGCATTTTGGGCTTTATGTTTTGCATTTTTATTCTGTCAAATCAGCTAAACTAACTTACACTGATTGTGTCTTATATTTTTGATAGCTTTCTAATTTCTTTCTCATATATCTCACCTGATATTGATAGAAGATCGGGTTATTTACCAGTATGTGTCCTGTACCTGTCCGGCCCGTACTGTTGACAGTCAATTCTGTTCAGTCATCGCACCGCAGCTGCTAACCTAAGCACGTTTTCCTCATGGTCAGTTTCCCAGCCACCCAAAGAAAACTACTGAGTTGCTAAAACTTTAGAACATTAGCAACACAGTGTATTCCTCTGGAGATCAGTTCAGATGCTGCGTTTTGTTTGGATTCCCGTCCGCGAAGGTGAAGGCTGTCTTCCTGGTGCAGCAGAGGACAGCCAAGTGCTTTCCCGCACCTCCAGCTCAGTCACCTCCCTGTTTGCTGTTGCTGATGTGCAAACATCTCATATTTCTTCTGAACCGTATACTTTGAACACAGTGGACTAGAGATGTGTGCTATCATAATGGTTTTATTTCTAAAATTCCTAGCAACTAGCAATAGCGCTGCTGTATCATTCTCTCTGTAGTTTATTTTTTATTAGAACACTAATACTGTGTTTTTTCTTTTACTTACGATTGATTTTCTGCTTTGTTGCATGTTATTTTAAACACCTAGCTTTTTCATTGAACAGTTATTTCAATTCCTTTAATTCATGTGAAGACCTCACTGTTAGTTATATTCATGTTACTTCAGTAGTGCATTTTTGTTTGTTTCTGTGTTTATTTGATTAAGGATAAGAACTCCTGTACCTTTTAAAAACCTTTCCAAAACCAAATGGTGAAGTCAGTGATTTTTACATACCTCCTTTTGTCTGTTTTAGGAAGGCTACCACAGGGTAGTTAATATCATACCAAAGAAACCACCACTGCTGGACAGGCCTGGCGAGGGAGGCGCGAGCAGGTTTTATAGCCACATTGATTACCGGGAGTATGAGGGCCGCGGTCTCTCTCATGATCGAAGAAGTGGTCCGCCTCACAGAGTATGTAAATTTCCCCGTGTACTCACTGTTGTATTTTATACATTTGAAAAGTCATGTACGTTTGAAGTCTACGTGGCCGGCCACGAGGGCGGTTGGCTGCACGCTTCCTGCCGGAGCTGTCCCAGGAGGCGGGGGGTCAGGGGTCTCGGGTGCCGGGCGAAGCGGGCAAGCCACTCTGGATAGCTCTGTCTGACATTGACTCCAACCGGCCTGTTTTTTTTATCCCCTACATTGGCAAGTATTTGTAAAAGAAGGTGAAAGTAATCTATTTATGACCTTGGTACTCAGCACCTGAGGGGCAGGTGGTTACCACCTCGAGGGTGTGCCCACTTGCGGTTATTTTGGTCACTTTCATCATGATGAAGAGCTGTGGGTGAGGTTGGCTTAGGGTTGTTGAGACTCAGTCTCATTTTTTCGTTATACTCATTATGAAAGTCTACTAAGAGAGCCCTCAGAGACTGCCTGTCCTATAGTAAGCACTTTCTATTGTGGGCTGCTATTATTACTATTGCTGTTATATTTTGTTTCTCTTGGTCATCTCTAATGATGTGGATGTTTTTAATATTTCAGTATATAATCTGTCATTGAACTTGATCTAAACTGCTCCTTGCTGCGGTTCCTTTGAACTAACTTGCCTGTTTACAGAATTCCTCTGCTAGACCGTTTCCCTGCATTTTCTCCTTTTCCCCCTTCCCTAATACATGATATTGTAATTAACAGTGCATATTCAGGCATTGTTTGTGATAAAATTTGACCTCACATTGGCCATTGGAATTAGTTCCTGTACTTGACCTTTGAAGAAATGGAGGTAGTGATTGACCCAGGGTGGGTATGGCTGGGACTCCAGTTCTCTTACTACAGCACAGTGACTCTTGACAATTATAAAGTAGTAATGAAAAACTATTCAATGGTTTCTTAGTTTGAGGTGTTACAGCTTACTTCTCATAGACTTGACTCTAATTTTGTTTGATTTTAAAGTGTCATGCCATTCCTTTAGGAAGGGGAATTTGATGTTGAAAAATAATCATTATGCATTATCTCTGTTCTAAAAATACTGGATTTTGCCTTCAAAGCCAGTCTTCCAGGCAGTCTAGGAAGGAACAATTTGGCTTTCACACTAAGTTGTCCCTCTTATGAAAACCCTGTGACCATTTAGTATAGACAGAATTTTGGATTCATCGAACCAGTTTGCATTTGAATCCTCCCAAACATGATTTCTTTGGAAAACCTTATAACATCATAGTGCCTTAACCATAGTTTTTTTCTATTATTGTCACAAGTTGTATTTGTTCATACTTTACACAACATTTTCTTTTTAAATTCTCTTCAAACAAACAAGCCAACTTGAGATCGTAGGACTCTCATGACACTTAATCTAGAGTTCAATTGCATAAAGCAAACCTCTTGGTTCAATATTTTATTACAGTACAGCTGTTGAATTTTGTTTGATTAATGTTGAGAAGGAAAATGCTGAATATGTTTTACTTATAGAAGAGTTGGGTATGAAGATGGAGATAGTATTTATTTTAGTTAAATTACTATTTCTCCTAAGTAATTTACGTATTTTATTCTATGTATAATTTAAAAGTAATTGGGTATGGATTGCTATGTAGTTTGTTCTTAAGCACCTTTTGAAATGTGTTTTAGAGGACAAAATGTACCTTCTTTGATTAATTGTAAGCTTAGTACCACATCTTGCTCTAATGGAGCTTTTCAGCAAGTGATGGTTTCTTATTAGATTGTTTCAATTCTGGTTTCTAGTGGGAGCTAAGATGAGAAAAGAAGACTTTAACAGAAAAAGTAGGAAAGTAGCAAATTCTCCATTAACCTTGAATCTGAAAATTGGAAGAGAACATGACAGAAGGAAAGCAAAATGAAAGGGCTAGAACTGTATGTTTAAATCAGGCCTTTGCTCTTGTGCAGCCTGTTGCTGTGGCGACGCTGGTGTGTGTCTTCGGCTATAAGGCTGTCAGGGTCTGTCAGGAAACACCAAGAGTTTGTTCTCGGGTCTAGTGAGCCATGTAAGTTCTCAGTCTACTGAATTACTTGTTGAAAAAGATGACTTTCTCGTTTTTCTTTTTATGCCTTTGAAGCTCAGAAATTTAGAAAGGTGTTTTTACCCTAGTATTATTTTTGTCTTACAAACTAGTTTCCAGTAGTACTGTTAGATATATCCTGCTTGACCAAATAATGTAAACAAGTATCTAAGTAGTTTTTTTTTTTTATTTTACAGGATGAGTCTGGCTACAGGTGGACAAGAGATGATCATTCTGTAGGCCGACAGCCTGAATACAGGTAAGAAGTGGAAGTCATAGCGTAACTGTAGGTACTTGACTCACTGAGTTGTCTGCTTTGAAATGTAACCTCAAGGTAGGCACATAGATGAAATATTTTTTATTAGGATTTAAAATTTTGAAAGCAAAAAGCTTTATATTCTTTTTATGGCTATGTGATAGAACAATGCTAATAGTATTCTGTATCAGCATTTTGTAAGTGGTAATAAAATATATATTGGAAAGTATTTGAACTAGTGATATAGTCTTATCAATTAATCAAATTATTAATGTGTAGTATAAATTAAAAAGCATATGTTTGCTTAATTAGAAGGTTAAGGCATTTTTTCACAATATTTGAATCATTACAAAGGGTCTCCTATTGCAAAATACATATATGTTGCCATATGTATATATAATACAGTGTCCTCTCAGTTGCTTTATTTTGATCAATAAAGTTCTGTTGGGAAAACACATTTTGGAAGGACCTCGATCATTGTTAGCTTTGGTTACTTACAGAGGCATCTGATAGAATAGTTAGAAAAAAAATAAGATGGACAGATTTAACCAGATAAATTTTTTTTAATGACTTTACAATGATAGTATCGGAAGTTATGAAAGGAACCTTTAAAGATGTCATTCGAACAGTCGGAAGATGACCCATGGAGAATGCAAGGAGTTGACTGCAGGGTCCTAGGTGCCACAGGTAGACAAGAGTGAGTGGGCAGAGCAATGTGGTTGATCAGTCACAGCACAGGGGTCGCCAGGGGCGTCGCATGGTAGTGCCGCTTCCCAGCCCCCAAGGCCTCCAGAGTGATGGGACGGGATGGGCAGGGATGGTGGCCATGCCTACCGTGGGGCGCACTGCTGCTGGGGCACCCAGGTCCGGGGGCTTCCTACCTTTCACAGCAAGCAGGAAGCAGGCCAGTCCTTTGGCTGGGAGTGAGCAGTCATCACAGTTAAGCCGCAGCCACTTGACCTGCAGTCAGTGGATGGTTAAGTGTTCAGTGTGGTGTATGTGGCAGAGATGTGCAGGGACATTCTGAACTCACGGCAGACTGCCTCTCCCTGAAGAAGCGGAAAAGGGAATAGATGCTGAAAAATACTTTGATAGAATTCAATTACTGTGTTAAAATTAATGTAGTAGCTACATAAAACTTCTAGCAAGCTAGGAATGGAGGAGAATTTCCTTTATCTAATACACAGGCGTTTGCTGCGCTGAGTAGTGAACTCAGACGCGTGCTCTGAAATCAGAACAAAGCAGCGGCGCCTGCCGTCCCTGCTTGTTGTGTTTGTCATGTTAGCGCAGGTGTCGCCCCACCGCAGAGGAGGAAAGGTGAAGAGGCATAAGGGCTCGAGTGAAAGGAGCAGAACTGCGTATAGCTGATTCAGTTATCTATGCAGAGAACTTAAAAGAGAGTTTTATAGACTGTTAGGACTATTATGAAATTAGCGAAGTTCAGTATAAACAAAATCAACTATTTTCAGCATAAATTTAAAAATATTCACTATAGCATAAAAACTATAAGGAATAATAGGAATAAATCTTAACAAAAATGTGTGAGATCTACATAGGTGAAGTTCTAAGTCATTTATAAAAGACCTGATTAAAAGGAACAGTGCACATAGGTGATATCCTTGACTGGAAAGAGACAGTTTCATAAGGATTCAGTTCTCCCCAAATTCACGTGTGAATCCAGTCTGCATCCAGTCTGAATTCCAGGATTATTTTTTTGCATGGAAGTTTGCAAGCTGATTCTAAAACTAATGTGAGGAGTAAAGTGCCAGATGGCAAAATAGCCTTGAAAAAGATGTAAAGACTCAATATATTGTTTTACCAAAACTTATAAAGCTGTGGAAATGGAAACAGTGAAACAGAACCAGGGAGTCTAGAAAAAGCCTAGATCCATCCAGGAGTCCGGGTTATAGCAGTGGTGTCATTACAAATCAAATGGGGAAAGAACGAACTTTTCAATAAATGGTATTGAGCCAAACTGAAAGCAAAAGTGTAAAAAATCTTTTTGACTAGATTAGCTAACGGCTTTTATTTCCCTCAAGGAAACAGTTCTTAAGTTTATTTTAGTTCTATTGTTTTTCAGTTTTTAAATAACAGTTTCTGCTTTTATCTTTAATTTATCTTCCTGTCTTTTTTATCATTTTATAGTTTCCTCTTTGTGTATAATTTTACATAAATGAAATATGTGTGACTCTTCAGTCCCTACAGCCATGTTAATAGCTTGGTATATGTTTTCCTATATATTTTTTCTATATTCATAAACATTTGAGGCATTTGTTGAGATTGTGTTATACATACTTTTTTCCTCTAAGTTGCTTTTTGCACTTGGTGGCTTGTGGAAATCTCTCCAAGTTATTTGGTTTAACTTTAATTTGAATCTTTTTAATGGACAAATATACCAAATAATTGAGTTGTTTACCTGTTGAGGAATATTCACTCTGTTTCCAGCACAAAGCAGTGTTGTAATAAATCCAAGTACATAGTTGTCTTTAATTTCTGTGGGTAGATTGCCAAAAGTGGAATTTCTGGGTCAAAGGGCATATGTATTTTACATGGTAATAGATGTTTTCAGTTTGTCTTCTAAAAGGTTTTAACATACCATTTTGAAAAAAATTTAATGTTTTAATTTGGATATTTAGTTTTCTTTCCTTCTTATTAATATGAGTTTTGAAATTTCCTTTAAGCATTGCTATATAGCTGTATCCCAAAGATTCTGATATATAGCAATTTTATGCTGATTCTGACATAATACATCTTAGTTACTCTGTAATTGGAGGATGTTGCCTGTACTCTTATTGTGCTGTTTGAAACTCATTGGTCATTAATGGTTCATTGGATGACCAGCTTTCTTTACTGAGGGCATTAAAACAAGGTGTAGTCTGTTTTCAGGGGTATAGCTTTCATTCTGTTATCATTTGATAAATACTTACTGTGTGACTGTTAAATGTCAGCTTCTCTTCTAGCCTCTGAGGATAAAAAGCTTCTATTCTTAGGAAACCTACATTTTAGTATGAATCATAGATGGTAAACAGATTAAAAAAACAAGGCCAGTAATTTTTATGAAGAAAGTAAAGCAGGGGAGTACAGTAGAAAGGGCTTCTCCTTCACATCTTCCTGCACCTTGACTTGCTGTCTGGGTCCCAGGAATATCTCAGGTTTCAGGCCATCACAAAAGCCACAGCCTTTACTGGCTGTCATCTTACTGTGTTTAAGTCCTCTATCAGGGGGCGTCACTGAAGAGTTTATGCCTAAAAGACGTGAGAATAGAACATAGCTGTTGTTGGGAGGGGGGATATCACTACATTGTTAACAGGCAGAGAGTAGTTGTGTGTATTGCTAGAGAATAAGGTTCTGAGTAATTAGGAAAACCGTGACAGTCAGTGTTCCTGTTTTTGTCAGTGCGGTACACACAATCTTTGTCGTGAAAGAAAGCATTAGAACATTTAAAACATTTTATTTGAAACAGTTTTTAAATTCATAGAAAAGTTGCAAGAATAATTCAAGAACTTGTAACTTTGACCTGAGACCCCATCACTGTCACCAGCAGCACCCCTAAAATGTGGTTTATAGCGAAAAGACCGAGTTGGAGTTCATAGGTCATATTTTTGTGAACTTCTTTGATCTGGAAGTGTCCGTCAGTCTTCCCCTGAATTCCGCCGCTCACTGTTTCTGGCACGGCGAATACAGGGCACACGTTCTGTAGAATGTTTCTCAAGTTAGGCTTGTTTGATGTTTCTCCCTGATAAGATCCACGCTCTGCCTTTTTGCCAGGACAGTCCCTGAAGTGAAGCTGGCTTCTTCTTACAGCGCCCTGTCAGGTCACGTGCGTTAATTTGTCCCCTCGTGGCATTGTGGACTTTCATCACTTGGTTGAGGTGGGGCTGCAGAATTCCTTCGCTGGGAAGTGAGCCTCCTTCCCCCTCATTCATGTGTTTTATGGGGGGCTACTTTGAAACTATGTAGTGATGCCATTCTTCATCCCACCTTCACCCACTAGTTTGAGCATTCATTGATGTTTCTTGCTTGAATTATTACGTTGGTTTCTAATAGGTGATTTTGTGATTACTGTTGTGTCTATACTATGCAAGCATTTTGTTGTAAGTGAGAGCTCTCTCTTCTTTGCACTCCTTTTTAGAAACAACAAAACTTTTTTATATCAGTGTGGACTCTTATTTTATTCAGCGTGTTCTGAACCGTTGCCATCTTTCTTTTGATGCCTGGTTTTGGCCAGTGAGACTCCCTGCAAGTCAGCTTCGGTGTTTTTTAACAAGTATTTTGTTGTGATGGAATATATGTAACATAAGGTATGCCATTCTAACTATTTTTAAATGCACAATTCACTGGCACTAATTATATTCATAATGTTGGGCAACCACCAGGTCTAATTCCATATTTTTTCACCATTCCACATAGAAGCTATGTACCTGGTAAGCAGTAACTGCCCATCCCTTACCCCCAGCCCCTGGCAGCCACCCTTCTACTTCCTGTCTTTATGGATTTGCTTACTGTGGGCATTTCCTGTAAGTGGAATTGCACAGTGTTTGTCCTCTCGTGTCCGGCTTTCACTTAGCTAAGTGTCTTCAAGGTTCATCCATGTTACAGCCTGTCAGGGTTCTGTTCCCTGTTATTGGTGAATAACGTTCCGTTGTATGTTTAGACCATATTCTGTTTATGCATCCTCTAGTGGTCATTTGGGTTGTTTCTACCTTTGGCCATTGTAAGTGAACATAGCCGTGTAAACGTCTGTTTTGAGTCCCTGTTTTCCTTTTGGGTGCACACCTTGCAGTAGAAGTGCTGGGTCATAGAGTCATTCCATGTTTAGCTTTTTGAGGAATCGCACACTGTTTTCCATAGTGGCTGCACCCACCGATGTACAAACTGCACCATTTTACATTCCCACTGATGTATGAGGGTACCAGTTTTCCACATCTTCACCAACACTTTTTAATATTTTATTGTGTGTGTGTGTGCTCATGCTGTTATATTCATTAGTTCTTTTTTTAAAT